TTTACTGTTTTATTGCTAATTTAAGGATTTATTATTCAAAGTTTATCTAAGTCTCATAGGTTCTGTAAATTTTCAATTGATGGCGCTGTATTGCAATACGATAATTTTGATATATCACGTGACATGTTTTTTTCAGATTTATATTACGACATAACCTTACTTTTTCTATTTTTTCGTGAAATGTGATAGAAAAAATAAGGAAAGTAAGGGAAAAAGAAAAAAATGATTACAATTGCAATATACGACAAGAGAATGCAAAGAGTTTTAAAGTGTGAGGACACAAACCGTGACATCGTAATATCGCATTCGAATACAATGGCTTGCTCATTAGCATTTCGTGGCCCCTTTTCAGGGTCTTGTCACCTCGGTTGACCCCTTTGAACGTTTTCCCGACCAACGTATACGCATTTGTGGTTACGTAAAACCCTTCCCTCTCTGGATTTTTCTCATACGTGTGTATACATACGTGTCTCGGCGCAGAGCATGCACACACATATATACTTATCGGATCGATCTTTTAAGTCTTTTCGTGCAGCTGCTTTTGCTATATAAAAAAGAAAAAATAACTAAATCAGACGTTCATCTATTTATACATGTACCTAAATTATCTATTTTTATATATATATATATATAAATGTATATATGTGTATTTATGCACAAGTATATTATATTGAGTTGAGTATAACTACATCATCAACTGATAATAGTAATATTATTATTATTATTATTGTATATAATAATTTTTTCATATTTCAATGCTACATTTAATTAAATTTTTCTTTAATTAAAAATAAATATAATTAAAATAAAATCGACTTATCATAAATGGTCATGTTTCATGAATTTTCATTGAACTTAAACGATGTGTACTTTAAATATATATGCATTTATGTATATGCAAGTATGCATTTGTTTTCGGCTTGTTTAAAATATTAGAATAAAAAAAAAAAATAATGAAAAAAGAAAAACTTAAGAAGATACAAAAAGGAAGAGAGAAAATGTAATTTTGTAGATTTTGTATTTTTCGTTACTTCATCGTTTTACTTGTAACTCTTGTCTCTTTCGCGATTCTTTCTAAATCCAAGTCAAGCAACCTCACCCGGCACTTTTGAGCTACTTCGCAATTTTGTATTTCGAATTATGCTAATTAGCGCGTACTCTGAGTAGCAGGCAAACGAAACTACTTAGAAACGTTTTCGTGTGTAGCTATACGCAAGCAAGCAAGCAAGCAACCAAGTGGTGACGTTATTTCGACCAGAGAATGTACAAGTAAGAGAAAAGGGTGCAGAAAGAAGAGGAAGAGTAAAAAGTGGGGGTAGAAAAGGAAGAAGAGGGGGAAGAAGTGAAGGAGGAGGTGAAAGTGGAAGAAGGGAAAGGGAAAACCCTCTACCTATAGAGGAAGCCTCCAGCGTTAATTTGTCCCGATGGAAAGGGCAAGTAAAAAAAGGGAAGAAAAAGAAAAGAGATAGAAGTGTGAGAGAGAGAGAGAGAGAGAGAAATATAATTAAAAAAAAGAGGAAGAAGAAGAAGAAGCGAAGAAAGCTAAAAAAAAAATCGATTTATTATCTAGAGCTTTTTCCAAAGAAGAATCCTTCGTAACGATGCTCGTCCTGTCTTCCAGGACAAATTGGAAATGACGATTACAGAATTGTACAATGAAATAATTGTTACAAGTAAGGTTATATTTATTACATTATTACATAACTCGGCATACTTCAATTCGTTTACAATTGCTACATTCATACCATACCTTCTGTCTACACCAGCGCCATTCTGGAAGGTTTTTCAACTGTTATTTATAGAAAACGCTGGACACTTTTTCACATTTTCTCCCATAAGAGATGTTACTCCTTACCTCTACCCTCCATAGCTATACTGTGAATAATTAAATTTGACAGGAATCAATGAAAAAGAAGAAAATATAATTTCTGTCGCCTCGATCGTCACGAATAATAAATGAAACGAATGGATGCTAAAAAAAAAAGAAAGAAAAAAAAATGAGGGAATGGTAGAAGAAGATGCTAGTAGGTGGTTCGATATCTTGTTAACGAGAGACAGTAATGTGCAACGGGCCGAGCCAATAATTTCAATCTGCTGATTGGAGGAGAGAGAATCAAACACATACACACACACACACACACACACGATAGTATTTCATATCAGATAAAAAACGTGAAAAGGGTCGTCGAATCGCGTTTGCTTTCGCGAATACACGAGAGCATGATTTCATGCGAATACTATGATCATCTCATGGTTGTCGTAGTTGTTGGGAGGGAGGGAGGGAGGGAGGGGGAGGAGGAGGCAATGGGCCACCACCAACACCACTTCTTCAACCAAAACTCACCCTCTACAAACGATACGAGTAGAAAAGTGAAAAAAGAGGAATAGGAAAAGGGGTAGGGATGAGGGTGGTTGTTGGGATAGGGGATGGTATTTTACATTCACGAATGGTATTATATATACTTTGACATAACGCACAAATACGTCAACTCCGAGGACTTTGAATTATATCAGACCCTTTCGAATTCCACCACTACGAATATTTTTCTTTCCCTTCGTACCCTTTCTCTCCTTTCTTGTTCTACTTTTCCAACTAAATTTGTTTGGGTGATGCCACCACGATCTTTTCTTTTTTTTTTTGCAATTTGTCTATCGAAATTCAATGCATTTTTTTTCTAATCTCATTGATTTACGTTCGTTTCTTTTTGATCTTATATAATATATATATATGTATGTATATAATCTGTGAATTTGAAAGTAAATGGTCTCGAAGTTTGGTATCTTGTTGAATATAAAACGACGAAAGCGTTTCAATGGTGCGAAAAGCTATAAGAAAAGGGCTAGGTGCTCATTAACGTGTATCGACTTGGGAAATCGGTATTATCGTTATCATCTCTCCTTCGGTTCTTGCCGTAATCAGAGCAATGGCGGCAACATTCTCATCCTTGTCCTCGTCCTCATTCTCGTCCTCGTCCTCGTAGTCATAGTCGTCTAGGGATTACCAAATCCGCGCGCGTCATTAGCTGCAAAATTCCTATTCCCCTTGAGATAAAGAAAGAAAGATACTATATATATATATATATATATACAGTTTGTGTATATAAAGCACAAACGATGAGAGAGACTGCTATAATCAGAACCGAAGAATTTATTTTCAAGACATAATTTATATATATATATACATTCTTTTTTTATTTGTATACAAAAGAAAAAGTATTCTTAGGAAAAAGTTTTAACGAGCCACGTTAAAGATATCCATTTTGTATAAAAAAAGAAAAAAATACTAGTGTCCTCTCTGTTTCGTAGAGGGGGTTTAGGTAAGCATCAAACACAGCTCTCATCGTTCGTTCTCGCCATTAAATCTACACAGGATGTCCGTTCGAACTTTTCGTCCCTGTCAGGATGGGATAATCAAAGCTGGGTTGGGTCATCGGGAAATCCCTGGAGAAAGAAAGAAAAAAAAAAGAAAGAAAAAAAAGGACAAGAAAAGAGTGAGAGGGAGAAAATATCGCACGCTCGTGTAAATAGAAAAGGATGGTGATGGGGAAGGGGAGTGGTTCGTCGTCGAGGGTTATGGTATCCATGAAAAAGCAGCTTTATTCTCTCTCTCTCGCACACACTCTTCCTGAACATGCTTGCTTTTTTCTGGAGAAACGAGATAAGAAAAAAATGAGGTTGGAAGAAAAAGGAAATAAGAGAGAAAGAAAATAAATCAAAAAAGAAAGAAAGAAAGAAAGAAATAGGATATGGTCGAAAGAGAGAAGAAACACGTGTGTGTTAGGGCTTTTATATGGGGAGGAAACTGCTGTAGGAAACAGTAACCTTGACCCTCTCTTCTCCTATGTTGTCTGCGACCCGCTTTTCTCTATCCTACACCACGAAAATGGGTTCGTATATTATTCCGAAAGAGATGTGAAGAGAGAAAAGGGAAACTAGCTGGGCTAGTGGGTAGCATTTATAAAGCTACCTCTCCTAATATTCTACTTCATTCCTAACAGGAGAGAATGATTAACTAAATTGATTAATTAATACTACGTTTTGTAAGATAATGAGAAAAGGGAATATTGAAATTATATGAGGAAGATAATATCTGCCAAGTTGATTTGGTTTACTCTTTTTTTTTTTTTTTAATTGTTTCAATAGTTAGGTTATGTACTAATACATACACACAGATAACTCTCATGTAACATGATAAGATGTCTTGTTGAGTGAAACCTTCTTCATTTTATAACCCATAGTTTATTTTACAATTAAACGAAATATAATTTCAACTTAATAAATAATATTTTATATAATTATTTGATAATTACAATAATAATTTATATTTGTTCATGATTTTAAGCTTTCATTTTCTTTAAATTAAATATGTTGAATTTAGTTGTCTCCAATTAATTTATTATTTAGTATTATAATAGTAATCTGAAGACTAGCACACCTCTCAAAGTCAATGAACTAACCTCATTTCTCGATATTACTACTTCCTAGAATTATTTCTACTTTTCCTTATAATAAATGTACCTATATGCAAACTTTGAGATTATGAAAAGAGAATATATATATATATATACGAAAATGAGTGTGTCTCTTTCTAACATAAGATCCTTTCCATCGATGGTAGAGAAAAAGAAGAAGAAGAAATGAAAAATAAGGTCGACCTTCTTTTCTTTCTCGTGGATTATAATTTCCCTTCCTTTCTTACTTCTTTTCACTTAGTCGATGGAAAGAGCTATTAGTACGAAATTAAAAACCTCTCACTATTGCAATTATTATAAGAGTGAATGTATAAGAGAGAGAAAGCTATATTCCCCTCCCTCTCATTCCATCCCCCACCACCCTCCTTCTATTATTCTGGAATTTCTATCTTATTTCAAATGTATCCACGTACTATATATACCAATACCACCATCCCAACTATCGCCATTTCTTTGTTCTTTTCATCTTCTTCGTTGCCTATGTCATCTCATTCTAACAAAAATATTTCCTTTTTCTTTTGCTTACAGAAACTAACTGTGGTGGTGGCAGTAAGGACCAAATAAAAGGGACAAAGAAAATGGTTCTGAAAGAAGAGAACTTTGGGCATAGACCTAAAAATTTAACAGCATTCACCACCGGAGGTGCGAGGGGGGGGGAATCGATCATGCCATGACACAACACAACAGCATGCTTGAAAAATCAGAGAAGAATTCATCGAATTTTTCAAAATGGGAAGAAAGAGAGAGGGGGTGGAGACGAATATATTCCTTTCTTCTCTCATTTCACATTTTTCTTGTCTTTTTTTCACCAAAAATATTTTTCTATTCGTCAAAATCTAAAAAAAAAAAAACATAAGAGAATTTGGATATTACTAGAATGATTTTTAAAATCAATTACACAACATTTCCCTTTTTATTCTTTCTATCTCTCTTACATTTTAACGAACGAGAAAACGCGTAAACTTTGTTAACAACGAAAGAGACAGCAGAGAAGACACACACGGATTCGTTTCGTCTCGTAAATCGTAAGGCTATCTAGCTGTGAAGTAATTCGTAAGAAAAAAGAAAAAAAGAGAGAAAGAGTGATAGTAGGGGTTGGTAGTAAAGGGGAGGAGTGATAGGAGTAAGAATTTTAGCAAGAGACAAACGTACGCGAAGAATTCTTAAGGACCTCGGGGGTGGTGGTGGTGTTCTTCCACACTTTACGGACGTGTTCGTGTCCCCCTACTCACTCTATTTCTCGGTAATGGAGAATTTTCCCCCTCATCCCCATCTTCCATCTCCCCCCAACCCTACCCCATACTCTCGCATCTCTCACACCCCTCTTTTGCTCTCTTCGTTGAAGGAATTAATTTGGTGCTAACGCCAGGACCACCACCACCATCACCACCCCCTTTTGCCTCTGATATCGGCCTTTTCCCTTTTCTCTCCTCCTCTCTCTCTCTCTCTCTCTCTCTTTTTTTCTCTTTCGCTCATTTCATAGTCGAGGCGTTGGTAACAACTCCGACGAGGAGCTTTTCGTTTGACTTTTTACCTCGGTGTGAGATGTTTTAAGCTTTTTACGCAGAGAAAGATAGAGAATCCTTCGTCTACTTCTACTTCTACTTTTACTTCTACTTCTGACTCTACGAAATTGTCTTATAAATTTTTCTCCCATCCCTCTCTTTCTCTTCCTGGGCCGAAGGAAAACCTCTTTACTCTTGGAGAGAATAAAGATTGCCAAGTTTCTTCTTCGTCATATTTTAGTTTGTGGAAAAAGGATCAATGAGAGAGAGAGAGAGAGAGAGAGAGAGAACCTTCCAAACCTTTTTCATTTTTTATTTTTTATACCTCTACCTGTGCTTTTTTTCTTCTTTTTTATTTATCTTCTTAGAAAGAAATAAGTTTGATTTTCGTTCGTGAAGAAGCATTTTTTTAAATTAATATTTCACACACACACACACACACATACACTTGCATAGAATAAAGTAATTTTGTTGACTTGAACAAATTTCTGCGCCATTCTTTTGTTTCATCCAAGAATAAAACGAATCGTGATTAAATTTTTAAGTTAGTTCAAATTCGTTCGAACAATAATTAAAATATTACCTAGGGATATTTTGTATAATAAAGATGAATAATAATAAACCGGGGTGTGGGGGATATTTTACAAGACGCACACATGCACGCCACGTTTCCTCTCAATAGTTAGGAATAAAAAAGAAAAAGAAATGTTGAAAAAGGACGAAAGAAAGGACCTAGTAGGGTTGGGACACGGGGGCTTGTCAGGTAGGTTAGGGTAGTAGTAGCATAGAAAAAGGTAGTAAGGGTAAGAATAAAATGTAAGAAAGGAGAGAAAGGAACGACGAGAAGAAGGGTCCGTGAAATTCCTCTGCCGTTAAAGTTCCTGTGCACTCTTCTTCTTCTTCTTCTTCTTCTTCTTCTTCTTCTTCTCCTCCACCTCCTCCCTTGTCCCTTTTCCCTTTTCTTTATATTCGTGTCCCGTTTCTCGTTTGTTTACCCCCTCTCTCTCTCTCTTTTTCTAATATTTCTTTTCTTGTTCTTGTTACAGGAGATGAACCAGAAAGAGCACAGTAGAGTTAAGGACGCTCGGGAAGACATAACCTCCTCTTACGAAAAAGATGAAAAAATAAAAAGGAAAAAAAAATGGCTTTGAGGAGGGAGGGGAGGATTGAAGAGAAGAAAGAGAGAGAGAGAGAAAGAAAAGACCGTTAGGAAGAAAAAAGAAGCATAATGCAGAGAAAAAGATGGACACGTAAAGAAGAGAATTCAAAGATGGCGCGTAAATGGTGCATAGGTGGCACGCAAGTCGCGCTGGCGATGCTGCTGCTGTTGCTGCTATTGGTGGGGTGGTTTGTGGTGGGGTGTGGGGTACAAACTAACACCCTCCCCACCATCACGAAAGCACACGGCGCAGAAAGAAGTGCCGTTGAAGCTGAGCAGTGAGCGAACGCAAAGCAAGAAATCAGTCGCGCGCTGAACGTCGTTGTACGTATTATAGTTCATTTTTTTTTCCTTCCTTCCTTCCTTTCTTTCTTTCTTTTCTTTTCTTTTGTCTATTATTAAATTTACTTACTCTTTTTTTTTCTATTCTTTTGTTCATTATTAAATTTACTTACTTCTTTTTTCTTATTTTTGTTTCTCTTGCAAATTATTTTCTATATTTACTTATTACTATCTTCTAACCACGTTATCAAGTTACTTTATTTAAATTTTCATTTCTAATTTAATGTATTTTCCTGTTGTTCTCTTATGTCCGGTTATATCGTCACGAGATATATAATAATAATAATATTCCGCTCTCTTTTCTTTTGCGCGTTGAGTGTGTGTTGATTGTGCGTGGTGTTGTTCCTCTTGTGCGATCGAGCGCGTAAATAAGAAATTTCTTTTCTAATAAGAATATATAATATAATTAAACTCTCTTTTACCCTATTTTAAAACTTGTTTCTATTTTTCATATTTTTTCTTCACAATCTTTTTCTTTTTTTTTTTTTTTTTAATTCTATCAGGAAATATAATAGATATATATTTTGTGCTTACGTAATCGCGATAAAATAGTAGTCTCAACGTTGAATCGAATTTATATATATATATATATATATATATATATATAATCAACTTATCAAAGTCAATTGTATCTATTCGGTAAGTAATTAATTAATAAATAGAATCTCGAATGAAAATCTTTCCTTATTCTTTCGCGGCTTGTTATTTTATCTTTTTTTTTTTTTTTTATTTCATTGTGTTTCATATCGGTTGTGTAATCATTTCAATGAGAAAAGATAAGAAGAGAAAGAGAGAGCTAGAGAGAGAAGTTTTTAGCTTAATATATAAATTGCTTTGATTGCATTAGTTCTAACCTTTAAAAAAATATTTTAAAGGAAATTAGAATGAGTAAAATAAATGCTAGTCATTGGTGTATTATATTGTCGCGTATTTTCGGCGAGAAAGATCGATAGATGTGCCGGCTTCTTCTCTTCTTTTCTATCTCTCTCTTTCTTTCTTTCTTTCTTTCTTTCTTTCTTTCTTTCTTTCACTTATTTTCTTCATTTCTTTCTATCTCTTCGTTGCGCTTTCGTATTCGCGCGCGCACACCATGTGACTCAAGAAAAGTTTTGTTCGTAAGTAAATAGAACAAAAAAAATATATATTTATATTCTTCTTCTTCTTCTTCTTTGAAAGTTCACGAAACAAATTTGGATTTATTCGCGTTCTCAGAGAATAATTTTAAATATAATTATTTTTATTTTGTTGAAACTCTTTTCTTCTTTTCTTCATCATCATCGTCATCATTGTTAGATTTTTCTTACAAATGTGTGCGTCGAGTAGTAACAGGTATATTTTATTTTCTTTCTATTATTTTGTAAAAACGTGCAATATATAATTTGCTTCTTTTTTTTTTTTTTAAATAAGATTCTAAATTATTTTATAATTAGTGTTGATTTTTTTTTATTGTGTAAAATTGATAGAAGAAACATACATTCATACGTGTGTGTGTGTATATATATAAGTGAAGAATACGAAACAGATTTTAATATTTTAACTTCTTTTCATTGATAATTATTTTATTACCTAATTCCGGATATTTCATTGTTCTTTCTTTCATACTTTTTTCATTGATGTGTATAATATTTCATGAATTAAACGATTTCTCGTATTTCAAAAAAAAAAAGACTGTAATACGCCAAATCCCACGTCTTCTTCTTCTTCTTCATTGGCGTTTGTTTCGGCTCAAATGTAAAAATAAAAGGAAGAGAGAAGAAACGCGAACGAACGAACGTGTGTCTCAAGGCCAACGCCTCGCGTATTTGCTTCCTTCATCTCTCTCTTTCTTTCTTTCTTTCTTTCTTTCTTTTTTTCTTTACTCTCTTATTCTAGTTCTATTCAATATCACTGTGTTCTCTTTTTTTATCCGGTCTCGTGCAACCATTCTCAGTGTAGTGTACCCTACTCGAGCATTTACCGAATTTATTAGAATAATTTTCCTTATGGTTAGTTTATTACATGAATATATGGTTTACAGTAATCAGATAAAACAACATTTCTAATCTTACACGTGGTTATTGTTCCTCCATATTTTATTTTATTTTATTTTTTGTTTTTTAAGATTTTATATACTTCCTTTTACATTCTCTAATCTTTTTCTTGTATTTCAATTTGTCATTTGTTGTATTCTTCTTCTTTTTTGTATTAATTTAATTTCCTCATTTTTCTGTCACACTTCCAACATTAAAAACCGAAGGCTTATAATAAAACCTATGTCGAAATGAGATGATAAAACTTGGCCTAGTTTACAAAAGACAAGAATAAGAGAAACAGAAGATTATATTATTCTTCCAAAGCCACTATAATGGTGCGTCGTGTCTAAGAGATTAATCGCTATCAATAATAATAACAACAATCAGTAGAAAAAATGGTGTGGTCTTCTTGTTTGTACCTTTTTCAGATCTATGTTTCCCGAGACGAGAAGAAGAAGAAAAAGAAGAAGAATTTCACGGTGCAAAATCGTGAAGCAGAACGCGAGAATGGTGACGTTGAAAGAAGAGAGAAAAAGAAGAAGGTGAAGAAGTAGAAGAAGAACATGGAGGAGGAGGAGGAGGAGGATAGGAGGAGGGGTGGATTGAAACGCGGCTTTTCTCGAACGGTGGGTATAAATATAGTTTGGTCGATGGTAATGGTGGTATAGTAGTAATAGTGGTGTAATGGTGGTAGTGGTGGTGGTGGGTTCGTAGTCTCCCTCGCCTAACATTTTCTCGATGTATTGCCACGGAAATTGGCTCTCTCTGTGAAATAAGTAAAATAGAAAGAGAGAAGGGAACAGAATGAACGTGCAAGAAAGGAAAAGGGAGAGTGAGAGAGAAGATAAGGAAGGTTCGTATCGCGAATATATATATATATGTGTGTGTGTGTGTGTAGGTATGTGTGATGTACACTAGTCACAGCACAAAACTCGTTCCTTTGAATTAGGAAAACACGTGTGATTGTTTCTTCTCTCTTTTACGGAAATTGAGAAAAAACATTTTACGTGTTAATATGTGTGTATGTCTTCTATGTATGTGTGTATCTAAGAAAAAAGAGGGAGAGAGTGAGAGGGGTGGTAAAATATCGAAGGGGTGTAAGGGGTGTAAAGGGGTTGAGGTACACGTGAGTTATTCGTGCATGAGTCTTCTATCTTTTTCTTTTTCTTTTCTTTTCTTTTCTTTTGCTACCTTTTCTTCAATGGTTTTTTTTACCTTTCCATTGCAAAGCAAAAGAATGTGCAGCAGCTAAAGCAGCAGTAGTGTGATGTGTTGTTAAGGGATAAAGGGTAGAAGAAGGGTAGAAGGGTAGAAAATGGTGTGGTTTTAGTAGTATTAGTAACGGTGCTGGTAGTGGTGGTGGTGTGGTGGTGGTGGTTGTAACTTCTTGGCGGGTTCTGAGAAGGAGATAAGCCGGTTACCAGCAACCCCCCCGGACGAAAACGTTTACGTCGGAAACATCGTTAGGAAGACGCGACGAACCAACAACAACACAGCCAACCAACCCACGATCCACAACCCACTATATATACACCTTCGATGAGACCTATACTTTCTTCTTATTCTTATTCTTCCTTTTATTTTTTACTTTCATTTATTTATTCATCCCCTTTTTTTGTTTTCTCTTTTTTTTTATTTATTTATCGGAGAACGCTTTTTCACATCGCGTTCTTTTCAATTTTATTTTCTCCAATACCACCACTTCTTTTGCTTTTATTATTTTACCTTTTTAATATCGTGCAAATAAATAACGATATTTAATAAATTTATATTCCATCATTATATTTTTATTTTTGCTAAGTAATTTGATACGTTTTTATTGTAAAATTATCAACTCAATTTTTAACGTACTATATATATATATATGTTATACGTTTATCGATAGGTAGATAAAACGTAACTGGTGTTGATATCGATAACATGATCTCTTTTTTTATATCATTCTATATAACTATTGCAATTATTATTAACTGTCATGTTAAATTCCAATATACTCAATGGAACTCCATTCCTTTTTTTTTTCTTTTTTTTTTGTACATATAGAGGTGGTGGTATCCAACATATCTAGGAAAAAACTTTTCTCATTCTCATCACTCAAATTCGATATGACGAAAAATACATTCTGTTATAACGTTTGACGATTTCGCGTATCTATATATATATATATCTACTAGTAGTAGTAGTAGTAGTAGTAGTAGTAGTAGGATATGCGTGTGTCCTATCGTTAGATACGAGTTCTCTTTCTCTTTGGGGTTTGACCGGGGATCTACAATGAATTTTCTCTACCTAGGTTGTACCCCATCTCTACCATCAACCAATCCCTTGTCCCCATCCCCCACATCCCCTCATCGACCCTTCATCGTTCGTATCTCGTAAAAAGCGATGTTCTCTTGTCCAAAAGACCGTAAAGGAGAAATAGAAAGAGAATGATGATACTACTACCATCACCACCACCACCACTACCACTATCACTATCAACATTGGTATACTCTTTGAACTATTTGAATGAGCACACTGCTGGACTGTTTCGAATAAACCATTTGTACCGATATCGTATCGTTCAACGCTACTACTACTATCCTTTACAGTTGTAATATTCTCTTTGAAATCGCTTTTCCTGATCTTTTGCTATAGGTGATTTGGCTTTCTCTAAACTCACCCACCACCAACCCCCTCCTTCTCTTTTTGTAGCTTTATCTCATCCAAATAGGACTTTTTTTCTTATTTCTCTCTGTAAACACAATAATTTTCACAATTTCTAGCTTAAAGAGAGTACATGTTTTTTATATTTTTCAATTGAACAAATTATCTTTTTGTTTATTCTTTCTTTTCCCTCATTTTGTATTCTTCTATAGATACTATACTAATATAATTATCAATAATGTGTTTTTGAAAGAAACCAAAATGATCAAAGTTGTTGAGATTCCCCGAATACTGAAATCCGCCATTTTGGATGATTTTGTGGTCATACAAATAAGGTCAGTCAATTTCTGAGAAGATATATATATACGTGTCATCGTTCTACTACTACTCGCATGACTCATTATAGATTTTCGACAGAGATGTGTTTCTCTGAGAGAGCGAATGACGTCAGCCGAAATTTCGAATCGCTTTTATCGGAAAGCCAGCAACAGTTCGCCACCACCAACCAGAGTAGTGTCCTTTCCGATAAGATACAAGCTGAATAATACCCCGTTGTACCGATCTCTTCATTTTAGATGATATATATATTCCGTACAGGACAATGATAGGTCTATGACGATGATGATGGTGGTGAGGTAGTTGTAGTAGTGCTCTGGTGATGGTGGTGTATTTGTTACCACTGTTCTATTGTTGTATAGATTTTGCTCTGTGTGTGTGTGTGTGTGTGTGTGTGTGTGTGTTTGAGTAACAATAAATTTTCTTTAGATTTGTATAGACATTTTTCTCATACATTTCATAAATTCGTGTTTCCTGTGTGTTGTATGCGTGTGTGAGTGTATTTCTAGGGCTGTATAATTTTCGGGCACCTGCACCACTCTGACGTCGTTCTATTTTTATACAGGCTGACCCATTGCGACCTAACTATACAACATCTTTCTCAAAAGATAGAAAGAAATGTGATTTTGAATAGAAAAAAAAATATATATATTACGAATAAAGAAGAAAGGTAAAAGAAAAATCTGTTCAAATGATGGAGGAGGGCTGATAAATTAACATTGTTCGTTTAACAATGGGTTTTTTTTTTTTTTTTTTGTAAAATACGAATTTACATTTTAGGTTGTAATTGTATGATAAAAAATACGAGTTGAGTGTGCACGCGTACATTTTTTGTTGTTTGTTAACTTGCCTCTTATTTACTGTTATCGACTATATTAGGTCTTATCTGTATATAGAAAAGGCATTGACAATATTTACAAAGTAGCCGATAGTGTACGGTAAAACCACGTCTCTCTTTCTTCAGTTGGTTCCTTGTACTCGTAATATGAGTCACGTATATTTAATGCATGCTTGTTCCTATATGTGTATGAGTACGTGAGTGTGTGGAGGTAAAGGAAGAAGAAAGAAGGTCATTTTGTTCCTTTTGGAAATTGTCATTCGAATATACATAATAAAATCCCTTGATAAGATATCTCTTTCTTATTCAAAGTAAACTGTATATACGCTAAAATCGTATTAAAATTTCAAAAAGAACAAATTAATCAAATCTATAGCACTTATACAGAAAAAAAAAGTATTCCTTGATAAGATAACTTCCTCTCCACCCCTACTACTTCTTCAAAATATATATATAGAACTATTTTAAATGATTTTATGGATGACATTTGTTATTCGATTTTAATTCTCGTTTCTTTTTTCGTACAGGTTTTTGCAACCACGAATGACGATGAGATGACTATGGATGACGATGATGATTGTTCATCGTCAATGAAAGAATAAACTTTTGGTTATTTCCTGTTCTCTGAGTGTGTCTACGTTCTTTCGGAAATTAAAACGCGTGCCCAAAGCCCCTTATCATTCTCCTGTCCGGTGTACAACCGTCAAACGACTGGACGGAGAACTGATAAGGGCCCGAGGGTCACAGAATCATCCATGAAGAGAAAGAAAATTCCATAGATGTTTAAAATGGCGTCGTCGTCGTCGTCGTGTTATATGTTCCCGGAAGAAGATAGACGAAGAAAAGGGTTAGAAACTAGTATCGGTTAAGAAACATAAATGAAATAGCAATAATACAACATGTATAATAGTAATATTATTTATATATTTTTTTTCATATTATCAGTCCCACAATAAAAGGGAAGATTCATCTGAGAAAATGAATGATGATAGAAAAAAATGTACTTTGTTCATTGTAGTATTAAAAAATGTGCGCATATAGGCGAATAAATTTGAAAAATCAAATTATAATATAAATATAAAATTAAACATTGTATATATATCAAAATTATTATACATATTTAATAAGCTCTTTTACTAACCTAAGTTTCTGTATAATGAATGTTCTACATTTTGATTAGTATGATAAATAAATGTTTGATATCTAACATTTTATTATAATAAATAAACATGTACAAAAATACTTATATATATGTCTTTATCTTCTCATGATTGCCTCAAGAATTTCTACAAAGCTTTTTCGTTAAAGAAAAATTTGTATAATGATATATAAACTAACAATTGTTAAACTATATTAAAATGATGCATTAATAAAAAATATTTACAAAAAATAATTTAGGCACAATTGATATACTAATGATTAGTAAAAAAATCTCGATACTAGTTAATAACAATTAATATATGTAATAACAATAATATATGTCTCTTTGTATTCTACGAACACCTAATATCTAATCCAATACTACCAAAGAGGGTAGGGTTCTGTTTCTTTTTACTACCTCTCTGAAGTTAACAACACACGGTTTTTCAAACGGGTAATCCCCATTGATTTGACCTAACCGTGTCCTCCCATGTGTTCCTTGACTATAATGATTTGACGAAAATGAATAAACTTAACGTGGCCAAACCAGTTGGACTTATTATAATTTAATTAACATCTTTTTTTTTTACGTGGTCGTACTTTTCGACCAGACCTGTCTAATTTCGTAATTAGGATTAAGTCGTATAATTTTTCTTTTCGGTGATCCCTCGTCCAATCTCATAGTTGGATTTTGTACGATCATTATTTGCGGTTGTTTGACAACATCGTTGTCTTTTTCAGCCATGAAATGTGTTACCTCGATTAATTCTATACCAGGTATACTTTTGACTATAGTCCCATTTGAAATAATGGTGGGTGTTGTCATTGTTACAGGTCGTTGTTCAATTATTTTGGGTAAAATTATTGGATTTTTTATACAACTTGTAGATAAGGATTTTTTATTTGTCAAATCCGGAACTATGGTTGGCAAAGTTTTTATTGTAAGATTATTAGTTGATGATGCTGTTGTATCAATCGAATCATTGTTCACAGATATTATTTTGGTTCCTAGTACCACGCCATTGCCTAAATTAATAAATAAAAGTTAAATATAAAACACATTTCAGTGTTGATCATTGAAATGAACAATTTTTGTTTAATAATATCAATACCTTTTTGCATTTCTTTAGTAACTGGACAATCTTTGTGAGCGAGTAACAAAGTTTTCAATCTTGTCAATTCATTGCGCAAAGCTTTAACTTCCAATTCTAAAATGGAATTAGTTTCATTAACCTTGGTCATAGTTTTTTGTAAATGCTGAACCCAAGCTTTGCGCTTTTCCCTAGCACGCATTGAACTTGCACGATTACGTTCAAGAAGATCCTTTTTTCTATGTTGATCGATACTTTGTTTGGAATTTTCTTCTTTAGATTGTCGTTGACTGATATTATCGTCTCTTACAGTTGTAATTGTTTCCGGAGATTTGTCAGTTTTAGTGTTTACTTTTTTCGTTAGAATTTGCTGTAGTTTCTATAATTAAGTAAAACATATACACTACTTTGTTTACTTAATTATTTTAATAATTTATATAAATATATTTTTTGTATAAACAAATTAAGTTTACCATTTTAGCAAAAGTCATTTTGGACGGTAGAGCTTTTTTAGATTCCGAAATAGGAATATTGATTCGTGGAAGTTCTGAACGCATCAGAACATTTTGTTGTTTAGTGTGTTCGATAGTAGAAACATGAGAAGAAGGAGATGCGTTGTTAGATGATTGAGAAGATGATTCGTATATTGGATTAGCAGATAGTTGCATCAATTTACCATCCGCTGTTTTCAAAAGTAATTCAACTTCTTCTCCGTTAATAGATCTGTATAAAATGTTATACAATTATTACATACAGTTAATTTTATAGCTACCATCCAAAATTATATAATAAATTGAAATAATAGGTGTCGTCGTTCCTTACAATTTTGAAGAAGATTGTTGCATTACTCTTTTAGGAGTAACAGACACATTTAAATGTTGCAATACGATACTTTCTGCATGTAAAGCTGTAGTTTTGGAAGACGCAAGTGTATTCTCCTTTATAAAATGAGATTCGTTTAAGTGTAGATTTAAATCTGAATATGTTTGAGTTGACACCGTTGATTTGTCTTTGCTTGTCGTAGGCTTCTCCCCTATTACTGTTATAGGAGTAGAACATTCTTGGTTAGTTTCGGAAAGAATATGAGTACCATCGGACAATACATCTGCGATATGTGGAAATATGTGAGGTGTGTGCAATGTGTCGTCGGTTGTTTCCACCTAAAAGTTACTTTCATTAAGTTATTAAGTATACATTTCAAAACATAAAGTTGATGAATGTTTCTACCTCTCCTGGTACCGTAAGTGTTCCAGTATTCCTTGCTTCAACTGCTCTTCGAAAAGTCTCTTCAAAAGGATTAACATTTTGTAAATCTTGAAACAATCCAACCTCTTCGCAATTACGAATGAATCTTGTTGGAGTTGGTGTTTGATCAACTGCATATTATACATTAATGTTAGTTTATAATATTTTTCATCGACATATGTATAACCAATAAGTAAATTTAATGTACTTCATCTTATAACAATATACAAACTTTACCTACAAATCCAGAATTTTTGTCATTGTTTTCAAGATTTAACACCATATCATGTTTCTTTCTATGTATTGCTAAATGATCTTCATCAGTGAAACTCTAAAATTAAACATATATGTCAAATATATGTTGTTACGTGTAAAAAGAAAATAGGAAAATTGAATTGATCAAATTATTTTTAGCATTTACATAAGAATTGTTTATGCAACTTTCTCTTATTCAACTTACCATATTGCAACCTGGTGACGTGCAAATAAAATGTTTTTCAACATCGCTCATAATTACTATGATCACTTTTTTTGATTATTATCTCAAACAGATTTAAACTGTATGAGTTATTATTGAAACAAACACGATTTAACAACCATTCACAATTGATACAACGATACATCGATAACAAATAATAATGATATTATCATTAAAGATACGTCGATTATTGTTTTATTCCAAAACTTATACATTTTAATAGAAACGCGAATAATATGCACGTAATTAAAATACAATCAAATATTCGATAATAACAATTTGGATGAATAATGTCCATCACTGATCTTTTTTGACAGAATACTGCATTGGTTATGATCATTTTTAAATACGCTATAACAAACATCATTGTACTGCCATCTACTGGTGTTTATATGAAATAATAATATTTGTATTTAGTCGGTACAACAGAAAACTTGAAACATTTATATTAGGAATAAAATCAGTCATTAAAGTTCCACTATCGATCGTTAGAGTGCGTTACGTGTCATGATCGATTAATACATTGGCGTAACCTAAATTATCGACAATTATGAAAGAAAAAAAGGTTTATGTATGACAAAAAAATGAAATCCAGTTAGTCGATAAATGTTATAGAGAGTAAGAGAAGATATGTATATATCTATATATAATGATTTAATAAAAGATTAGCTTTTAAATGTATCGGAAATTATACTACAATTTCCATTGGACGATTTGATGACCTATCTTTCGAACAAAGTGAAACCGCATGTTGAAGAAAACGGATTGTTTTCTTTCAGCGATTCTGACTTTCTATGAAAGTAAGTTTCGGGATTTGCGGGTTCGCGGTCAGTGTATCAAATAGACACGATCGTATTACAATGTAAAGTAGAAACTAAAAATAAAATAAACAAAATATTAAAAAGAATCACACATCCTAGTATATATATATAATATTAATATATATTATATATTAATAATTAAAATTAATATTATTATTACTAATCTTCTTAATATATATAAATTAGGTGTCACGTTGTTTGTCCGCAATGGACCCCTAAATTACTGAACCGATTTTAATAAAATTTTGCACACTGTGTGCAGTTTCATCCAACTTGAGAGATACAATAGTTTATATTTCAATTTATAATCGCAATATTACTTTATTGCGAATTTATTAACAAAGGGACATTATTATCTCTGTTAGTTCGATAAGATTCTAACAGATGGTGGTATAAGGTAATTCGTTGACTTAAAGACATGTGTATCGGACTGATTGTGAGTCACATATATATATAGTAGAAGTAATATAAGTAGAAATGTAAGGAAATAATAAGAGAAAATAAATGTTGTATAGAGTCTTGTTGTGATCCATCGAGAGAGAGTGAGGAGAAGGGCCCATGGTGGATAAGGCCACATGGAAAGACACTTAAACTACAAACAAATACACACATATACCTACATAAATATACAGAGAACGAAGAGAGTGGTGTCTCGGATGCTGATGTGATTCTGTTCCTCATCAGTAGTCACTCGCGTCTCGCGGTGGTCTATTCACAAATATTCCTTCGTTCATTCGTTTTAAAAGAAAACGAACAATTTTTAATCCTTTCCCTTCCCTTTTTCCAACCCTTAAAAAACTAAAAAACAAATTTAAATTATTCCTTCATTTGATCGTAATAATTATTATTCCTTTCTTTTTCACCTAAACACAAATTTGTTCATCGCACAAGTGATCTCGAATTTTTATTTCATCTTATCTTTCCTTTTTTTTTTTAAATATCAAACAAATGTATACATCTACACAAACACACATCATAATGTACGTGGAATATAAACAAGTGTACATATCGTAAATAAGAAAAAGAAAAGTGTTCGGTGTGAAAATTGTACGAGAAAGTGTGCGAGAGAGTAAGAGAAAGATTAGAAGATAAAAAAGATAAAAAAGATAGAAAAGAAAGCATGATGATTGGTCAATAATCTTTTGTTTCTTTCTTACGAATGTGTGAAAAGAGAAAAAGTCTTACTAATAAACGTAAAACATCTTGAGTTTGTCCGTGATCTTGTTGGTTGGTACTCATTTCTTTCGATATTCAGTTCCCCGTGTCGGCGACCTTGATCTCGTTTAGAAATCCAGGTGAGATACTCTATGAAAAAGTTCGAAAAGTTCTATACGATTATTATACTTCCCGTTTTTTGTATTTTGCATGGAGTCCTCACATGCATGGTTTTTTTTTTTTTTTTAATTTAATAATTATCGAGTGATTTTTAAATGAAAATAAATTGAATAGCATTAAATAACACAGTAGCGTGTAAATCAAATTAATTTCTAAATTTGTATTAATATGAAATTAAACAAATTAAATGGAGATGTGTTTATTTTTTATATAATTCTAAAAATATAAATTTGTATTAAAAAATTATAAATTAATTTGCAAAAGCATTGGGATAGTTTTTGTACGCTCAAATGATATATATATATATATATATATATATATATATAAATATATAATATTTAATATTTTCTAATATCGAATGCAACATTGTGAATTGAGAAACGTCATACATCCGTGAGCAAATGATAATTTATTATAGGAGGGTGGAGTAGTAGAGTTAGGTTTAAGTGGTAATCAAAAAAGAAAAAATAGATGGAAATTATCTATCCGTAATACTAAGTTGTGCGGTTTTTGTGTTACGGTTCGATAAAACAGGTCGATCGATATTAATCGATATGTATATATCATTGCGTACGGTACTACAATTGAATTAGCGATGGGAATGAACAACGTTTGATAGAATTTATTATTATTATTATTATTATTAATTTCTAATCAATATTTTCTTTTATATAAAATACTTTAAAATAAAAAACAACGTGTTTTTTTTCGTAATATTCTTTTCATAAACCAACGCGTGATTTATTTAAAATAATAAAGGAAGAAAAGTTTGTTTAGTAATTTTCCTAATAAATCTAATAACTTTTGAAAGAAGGAAAAAAGAAAACCAATAAAATTAGTATAAAAAATACAAGTTGTTTCATTATTTTTCCATTAAAATACGAAGCAAACTTTTTTATTCGACTACTACTAGAAGAAAAAAAGTAAAAAACAAAAAATAAATAAAAAGAAAAAAAAAGGAATGTTAATTGGCGTATTAGATTAAATTCATTAGACAAGTTTGGAAACTCTAACGATTGGAGAAAGCTCTTTTTCCTTCCTTCCATCCTTTCGTTTTAGTTCTAATAAATAAACAAAACAATCAAAGACACTTCGAATTTCCATTGGACAAATTGAACAGAGCGAGAGAGAGAGAGAGAGAGAGAGAGAGAGATTGATAGAAGGGGGAGGGGGTGGAACCATTACAAACGAATGGCTTCGTTGTCAAAGTCGAAAGTTACCGGTTAACTTTCACTAATAACTAAAAGGTACACGAGACGAGGAAGGGGGTCCGAAGCAGGGGGAGGGAGGGGTGAATTGTGAAGGTAGAAGAAGAAGAAGAAGAAGAAGAAGAAGACGATTCGAACGTTACGAAGCATTAAAAGGCGTGCCACTTGTTTCGGTGGCCTGGTTTCGTGTCCCACTTTTGAATCGGACTGTACATGGACTGTACACCTTCTCCACGGTTCCTGAACTCGGCCGGTTTTAACAAGGAAGTGTACATATATATATATATATATATAAGTTTAAATTTTACTATTTTATATTTTATTATTATTATTATTATATATATTATATTTATTATTTATTATTTCGTATCACAACGAAATTTATTTGGTCACGTCAGGGTTGATGTATTTTTATATATGCAAGGATGCTCCTGCCAAGCATTGCTGTTGCTTTATTATAAAATATTGATTGAATATAATTCTAAACTTTTGTGACAGTCTTCAATTTTGTGAGAATAAAAGTGTTAAAGTGTAAATCATTAATAATTGAAAATAGTGTTTAAAAAATAAAATAAATCGGACGAACAAAAAAAGTAACATGTTTGAAAGGACGTAAGTGAGAAAAAAAAATGTAACAAGGTGAATGAAAGTGAATTGGCGAATTTTCATCGGTCGTTGGAGGAAAGAAATGGTTGCGTCCACATCGTCCTTCTTCATCCTATTCATCCTTATTGGATTTGGTTTAACTAATTGTAGAAAAAACGATCGTTATCTCGACAAATTTGGTAAGAAACATTCAATATAATTTATACTTAAAAATAATTTAAAACATATGTGTTTAACAAGATTTCCAAAAGAGTTAATTAGCAATTTTGATTTAATCAGATTTTCCAAATAACGAAGAAACTTTGAACGATGTTAATCATCTTGACACCACCAACAGAAAAACGAGATTCTTCGATGAACTTGGTTGTAAGTTAATTTATATTTAATATATATTTTTTTAAACACCTTCTCTTACACTCTTTTTCTTTTATAATATCCTCTTGTCATATGAAAGAATTATGTGATTCGATAAATCATAATAACTCGCATACCTCTACCTAACACCTCAGTAGTAGTTAGTGATTGTATTAGCGTGAATTTTAAAATGTGTTTCACCGAAAGAGAAAGGGCTTATATACTATACTCGTATATAACTCTCTTCGAATGACAATGAATTTTTTCTTTTTACTTTCGGACACGAGCCAACTTTACTTCTTCTCTATTCTATTATTCTCGTTGAAGGAAACAAAGTAACAACAAAAAGACAAAAAATTACTAATTATATATTTAACAATAACGCAATTTTTTTAACAATAACGAGTTTAAGTAGAGGAAAATAATAAATAATGTTCAGATAACAAGTTGAATTTTGTGAGTCTATAAAGTTCAAGGTTCAATTTTTTAACCCTTAACGCTCCGACGGTAATTTGTGGTTATTTAATCAGCAGCTCCTACTTATTCTACAATTGGAATAAAGAGTGCTGTAATATCGGTTGTGCCTGGAAGGCAACAACTTAGAGTTTAAGGTTAAAAAAAATATTTTCCTTATGAAGTTTTTCAGAAAATTGTCATAATTTGTTATGATCGATTATTTTAAGAGATATAATTCTATAAATATTATTATGTTTTAATTTAATTAGGGGAGCTGAATTCGGCTGTACTGCAATGCCGACTCAACCCGTGGCAGATACGAAGCAAGCTTCGTAATTCCGCCATTTTGCAAAAATCTAGCTAATATTCTGGCATTTCTATGAAATGCGTATCAGATATTAAGCTGATAAGAACAGATACTACACTTTGATCTTAGCTCAGGGAGCCGAGAAGCGATATTGAACTCAGTAAAGTGCGGATATTTAAACTATTTCGTGTAAGGAAACGATTGCGAGAATAATGCGACACGCTGCGGTCGCTAGGAGAACTACTATTGTAACGGGAGTACAGAATACTACCCTTCTATGATATATAGGGTGTCCAAACAGGTTTGGATCAAACTATAAATAATTCATATAAAATGATGTTAAAAAATGCTTTATGGAAAATATAGTTGGTTATAGTTATATATATATATATAATATATATATATATATATATATATATAAAGTGTGTATATTTACTTTTGAGGTTAATTATGTTTTATTTGATTAGTTAAAAGATACGTATGTACGAAAATTTTGTAGAAACTATTATTAAAATTATCGTCATGGTCGGAAGTATTGCAACAATAAATGATTTCAAATATTAATATATGTTTATATAGTAAATCGAACCATGATTATGAGAAGAAAAAAAAGAAAGAAAGAAAAAGAAAAACGTTGAAATTTCGCGGTTCACAGTCGAGTTAACGAGGGACAACAAAATTGGAATTGTACTTGAAAGGCCACTTATAGAACGTTTACTTTCTACGAGAGAATTCATTTCAAAAATGTATTATATATACAATATATTTTATAATATTTATAAATTTTTTATTAAAATAATAATAATTAATATTAAAAAAAAAATTCAATTAAAATCAATAGTCAAAAGTATAAGAAACAAAAAAATTAAACAATTTTATTCATGAAGGAGAATTCTAGAGGAGGAGGGAGGGGATGAAAGAAAAGAAAAAGAAAGGAAAAGGTTGTTAAGAATGAAAAACAAGCAAGTATTTGAGTTACATACTTAGGAGTCTCCTCGTAAAAAAAGAAAAAGAATAAAGAGTGGGGAACCAATGCAAGACGAAGAGGTGACATCGGTTTGTCTTTGAGAAAGCCAGCTAGCCAGCTAGCCAGCTAGCCAGCCGATGTCGGTGAAAGCAGAGGAACTAGAGAACACCACCAACAGCAGTAGCAACAATAGCAGCTGCAAAATACCAGTCCCTTAGTAGTTTCCTTGGTGTTCAATTGAAACTCGAGATAGAAATGAGTAGTTGTCAGTTCACGTGAAATATTCCCATAAGTGTTCGAATTAAATAACTTTAACGTCGTAGTATTATTTGGTGATATCTAGTGTTTTATCTTCTTTATTTTAAAGAAACAAAAAAAAAAATCATATGAAAGAAACAAAAAGGGACAATTTAATTTAAGAACATTTTTCTTCATCTTCATCTTCATCTTCAAGAAGGAAAGAAAGTTTTTGAAATTATTCTTCGTCATGTATAAACTAATGAAAAATTACATAAATATTATTTTACAAATGCAAGAATTTATCTGTTAATTTATCTATGATAAAAGAAAATTGATGAGAATGTCATTAATGAAGTCAATTATACGAATATTTTGACACGATGAAGTTTAAAGAAGAAAAATTATCAAAGTGAAGAATTATTTTTGTCCGAATCGTATTCTTCACTTTTATAGACTTTCTTTCTATATATAAATTTGTGTTTATTTAGTTTATTTTTGACCATGAAGATCATTGGATCGATCGTTTTAATTATCGTAACGGTAAATGCAATCGAACAGGTACGTTATGATGTGCAAAATAAATTTTACAAACGTCCGAGTACTTCAACGTCATGGAAACGTAGTCAATTGGATGTTAGATTGGATGATGGAAGAATTGGTACGACACAAAGATCGATTGTTTATCGACAAGATAAAAGAAGAAATGGACCATCAGCTTCGATTATTTTCTTAGAAGACGACGTTAATAGTGAATTGTCAGAAAATAGAAATAATCATATGTCATCAATTGATCATTTCGATGAAAGTGAAAGTAATAGTTTTATCGTTGATTCGTCGCGAAATAGAAGAAAGTTTGTACGAGAACATCGTGCTATTGAAAGTACATTGAAAAATGTTGTATCATTGCCAACATCGGAAAAAAATAATTATCAATACGTTTCTAATTTTCCATATTCGTCACGTCCCCCAGTTAATGAAGAAAATGAAGAAGAACATGACGATGACGATGAAGAACTTGAAGATGAACATAAAGAAGAAGAAGAAGAAGAAGAAGAAGAAGAAAATAATCAAAATTATTCGTTAATTATCAACAACAACGAGGGAAGATATAATCGTAATCCAATTAATAATTGGAATGTTAATAAATTAATCAATTCTAATGACGATGAATCGGTCAATGTTGAAGAATTTTTGGAAGAAATTAAACGTAGAAAAAATAACGGTGATTTGGATAAACTTTTTGGAAGTAATTACAGGCAAGGTAGAAGAAGAAAATTGACCAGTCAACAACAAGGTGTTTTATTGGTTGAAACACTGAGAAAGAAAAGAAATCAGAGCGACACTGATGATTATCGGGGACATTCTTCTTCGGATCTACAAAGCGGAATTATGGATATGTTAGGCAGAAGTATGTGTGTTGCTTCAAACGAAAATAGAACAAAATAATCATCAAATTCTTCTTTTTTTTTTTTTTTATACAAATATCATTCGATTGTTTTTTCTAAGCTGTTATTTACAAAAATTATATAATATTATTTCTGACATATAATTTTCTGTTTGAACGAAAAGTTAACAGGAAACACGTATTCGAATTTCTATTCATTTCAGATTTCGAAATTGGTAGACAGGTAATTAGGCACACCTTTGAATAAACAATTGAATAAATCGATATATTATTATTATTATTATTATTATAATAATTATTATTATTACTTAAGCTTGTGAACTTTCGCATTTGGTCACTGTTTGTCGAGAGTACTAAATTTTCACTTACGAAATCGTGATTTGGAACGAAAGTGTCTAGTGACTAGCATTTAACTAGTTAAACAGAGCAAAGAAAAATGGGTTCTTCTCGAGATGATGAACGAAATGATGAACGAGATGATGAACGAGATGATAACGTGATCATCTTTCTGTGAACAAGGAGAATACGAGGATTATTCTTTTCTTTTTCTTTTTCTTTTTTCCAAATATTATTTCGCTCTTAACGATATATATGAAAAAGAGTAAAAAAAAATATTTTTTTATGGTCATGGTTGCAAATAATAATAATTAATAAAATTTTCTTACTATAGTACTATAATATAATATATATTATTACTAGTATAAATGATGAAATTATTTTGTATTATTTGTTGACAGTGATACCACAAACGTGCAAATACAAGGGTACCAAATTTGAATGTGGATTGAGTATAAGTTGCGTTCTGGCAGGTGGTAGACCGGTCGATTTATGTTCAGGTGGATTAATTTGGAGTTGTTGCGTGGACGACGATGATATTCCAGAAAAAATCCCTAAACCGAGTGTTGGATTACTTCAAAATGCCAGTGAGTTAAAAACAAGTTTAATTATCTTCTTTTTTTTTTTTTTTATGCAAGGAAAAGTTAATTTTTAAATGTTCGTATTCATCAGACGCTTGTGTCGTTAATAAAAACTTCCGTTAAGAAATAAAGCAAGCTTAGGTTAGCCTGATTTCTAGAAATAGTCACACATCCGAAATTGCACAATCGAATGTAGAGAGCAAACGACCAGGTGAGTCGTGAGTACCTGGCGACACTTTCAAAGACGGTTATAATTTACGGTTAGTTTCAGATGGAGAGGAGCTTTTTTTTCTTTTTTTTTTCTTTTTCTTTTTCTTTTCTGTCTACCGTAAAACTTTGCGCGTGAATTTAATCTTACAGTGCTCGCACCATGAAGTCATTTTTACTTCCTTGTTTTTCTTTCTTTCGTATATTTTATTTCTTTATTCCAAATTCAGATTTAACAATGAACAGATATGAAAATGAATAATTGTGAAAAGAGAAAAAGTCATGTGTGTGTACGAATGTGTTTGAACGTATAGCATTTTCGCTAAATCTGGGTCATCAACAACCCTACGTAGAAGACAACGTTCATATCTATGGTAACAATTTGAGACCAATCAAGCCTACGTACATGGAAGATGTTCATAGACCAAGTTATTCCTACATCGTGAATAATCCAAGCAAACCAACTTGGCAACAACAACAACAACAACAACAACAACAGCAGCAGCAACAGCAACACGATCACGATCGTCCCTCTTACGTGACACGTCCCACAGTTTATCGACCACCTACAGTTCAATTTGATTATCCTCAGGACGAGTACGATTCGTCTTATCCTCATTCAAACACTGGGATCCATGTGCCTGTCGATGATGTCTCTAATTCATTGGATTATTCGCAATATCGTGGTAATCGAGAAAACTGCATAAACAAAAACAAACTTCTCAAGTGCACCAACCAAAATGCACCAAGCAAACTCTTACCACCAAATATATGATATTTTATTTCTTACTTTTTCTTCTTCTTCTTCTTATTATTATTATGAAACCAGTGACTGAGACTTTATGAGACATATGAGTAAAGACAAATGATAGAAGAAAATGGACAAGAAAAGGGACGATATGAACATAACCTATTATGAATCACACGCTCGAGCACTTTAGTATTTTATTTTCTTCTATTCTTCGTAATATATCATGAAAAATTTTTCAATGCACGATAATTGCACTCTGTTAAAGAGACCACATGACAAATACGATATATTTATAAATATATATATGGGACGATTTTCTTTTGCACGCTCTCTTTGGCACCGTTATGCTGCAACTGCACGAAATATTTTTTCCGATTGAATGGAATTTAGAGAAAATTTATAAATTCCAAGAGAATACGTCTGTTTCTAAGTATCTGAAGAAACACAACCACTGATGTGGATCTTTTTTCATTTGTCAAGTCTTTTATTTTTTTCTTAATAAAATATTCTATTCATTGAGAATTATTTTATTGTGTATTTTTTTCTATTTTTTTTTTTTTTAGGTTGCGGGGAACTTTACACGAGAAGTAATAGGATTGTTGGTGGACATAGTTCAAGTTTTGGAAGTCATCCATGGCAGGTTAGAAGAAAATTATCAAAAATATATGTTTTAGCATGTATAAACAAATACGCGTTTCTATTATTATTATTATTATTTAATGAATTAATTTTCTAGGCTGCCATTATTAAATCGGGATTCCTTACAAAGAAATTATCCTGCGGTGGTGCCTTGTTGAACAACAGATGGGTCGTAACTGCAGCACACTGTGTTGCAACGTAAATATTAGTTTACTATCATTTGATTTTTTTAACCCTTTCGCTATATAAATAAATATCTTTCTTCATTCAGGACACCGAACAACAATTTGAAAGTTCGATTAGGTGAATGGGACGTGAGAGACGGTTCGGAACGTTTACTTCATGAAGAATTTAACATTGAAAGGAAGGAAGTATGTTAGAAAATACATTTTCTTTTCTTTATCTATACTAATACCAATAATAATTACATACACACATATGTGTAATAAATAATATTATAAAACAGGTTCATCCTCAATATTCACCTACGGATTTTCGAAACGATGTTGCTTTGGTGAAATTATCAAGAACTGTAATATTTAAACAACACATTGTACCAGTTTGCTTACCAGCTAGAAATCTCAAGTTATCAGGTCGGACAGCAACCGTTGCCGGATGGGGAAGAACCAGACATGGTCAAAGTTCAGCACCATCCGTTTTACAGGAAGTCGACGTTGAGGTAAATTCAAATGATACAAAATTGGATTATTATTATTATTATTTTTAATTATCTTTGATTGAAATTATGTTATTTTTTTGTAGGTCATACCTAACGAAAGATGTCAAAGGTGGTTCAGAGCAGCTGGTAGACGTGAAACCATACACGATGTTTTTCTATGTGCCGGTTACAAAGAAGGTGGTCGAGATTCTTGTCAAGTGAGAAATTCATTTCTTTTTTTTAATTCCAATTATTGAATAATTATTTGATTAGTGAACAATAATTTATTCAATATGATTTGTTTTCTTTTCAACAGGGAGATTCAGGTGGACCATTGACCATGTCCGTTGAAGGCAGACACGTGTTGATTGGTTTAGTGTCATGGGGTATTGGTTGTGGCCGCGAACACTTGCCAGGTGTATATACTAATATTCAAAAATTCGTGCCTTGGATAGACAAAGTTATGAGTTGAAAGATCTCACAAAGGAAAAAATACAAAATGTTTTACGGTTCCTTTTAAAGAAAGACGAGAGAGAAAGAGAGAGAGAGAGAGAGAGAGAGGAAGGGGGGGGGAGGAAGGAAAAGAGAGAGTGTGTGTAAACGAAATACTCGAAAGAAATATAGTGTAGTACGTAAAAGTATGTAAAGTTACCAAAGTTACTACCATAAACTTTCAAAAGAAAAAAAAAACAATTCTCATGATGACGTTGAGAAAATAACAACGTTCATATGTGTGTATGCATACATGCGCGTGTGCGTGAATCTGTGTGTGAAAGTAATATTTTATTTACATGGAGTAAAAATATTTGTTTTAAATTATTAATAAGAATGCATTTCATGCAATTAATCTATTCTTTGATATTGTTAATATTGTTAAGGAAAGATTCCAAAAGCGATAGTTATCCAATATCGATAAGGTAGATTCCTTGAAGATACAATTGTATATTTATCCAGATGAAAAATACAGAAGTATGTAAAAGCTCATAAGTTCGTTTTTAGTGTAACCAAATTCTTTTTAGTTAGCACCGGAACCTCCAGAGGACGATACTAAGTACTTAACTCAATGACTGTATAATATCAAAAAGTACTCTATTTTTTTACAGTATTATGATAGATATACATTCATTGATAGTATTTATAATATAGCTATATATTGTATAATACAATATTAAATAATTATATTTAATTTTTAGTCTATAAACATGTATCTGTTCCTTTATAAGTGCATTTATACAGCTATATTTTACGTCGCAGTTTCTACGACGTTTTTTGATTGAACCGTCAAAAAGTTTTGACACTAATATAGTTAAGAAGTTGTGACAAGGAATCGTTAAGTACGTGATTTCATCTCAAAAAGAAAAAGATATTATCAAAAAATGTAAAAATTAATTGACGATCATTTAAAAGAAAGAAACAGGATCAAAAAAAAGGGTTAACAGCACACGGTGTTCCCAAGCGGTCACCCATCCAAGTACTAACCGTGCCCAGTGATGCTTGACTTAAGTGATCGGACGAGAACTTGTATTTTCATCACGGTATGGCCGTTAACTGTAAATATCATCATGCTAGATGCACTTGTCATGCACTCCCTAACTTCAAGCATGAACAAAAAAATATTAATTCTGAGGCTACTAGGTATATTTTAAATAAAACAAATAACCAAGCTTCGAGAAAATGAGTATTACAAAAAATAAAAAAAAGAGATTAAATTTCTTATCATAGGCAAACTTTGTGGCAATTCAATCGTATCAATATGTCATTGGAGAAACCTAAGTTTTCTCATCCTTTACCAAGTATAGATAGATTAATTTTCCTTGTTTTAATATATCCAAGAAGTATATATATATATATATCGATTACAGAAATGAGAACTATTACTGTACTATAATTAATCATAACAATCGAGGTAACGTATTTCATGCAGGAATCAAATAACACAAATGGAGTTAGTTTGGGGAATGTGAGAAAACTGCTTGCAGGTTGCCAGAGAAGAAAAAGAAGAAGGGATGGGGGAAATGAGCGAGAAGAGGAGGAGGGGTCGGCGAGGGGGGCGAGGGATAGGATATACCGAAGGGTAAGTTGCTAATTAGAGCCAGATTAAACGCTTGTCTGGGGAGCCATTTTCCTCCATTGGGTTGCGGAGGGTAGTCGAAGAAAAAAGAGGGTTGGTAGAGAGTACGGGGGTCAGAAGTCGAGGCTAGGGGTGAGAGGGGAGATTTGGAAAGAAGGGTAGAGAAGAAGAGGTTCTTCTCTTTTGCTAGGAAAGGAGAAGGAACGTTGGGAGAGGGGGGTTGAAAACTCAGTGTTCTCTCTCCTTCTCTCTCTCTCTCTCTCTCTCTCTCTCTCTTACAAGCAACCGTACGGAGGAAGGAGAGTGGGCTTAATGAAAAGTGTTTGCCCCGTAAAAGTTAAGATTAATTGGCGCTCGGGGGGTGGTTACCGCGGTAATCAGCCTGAGCCAGTGGTTTTCAAACGGACTCTTTTCCCCCTCATGCTACTAGGGGATTTCGAACGAGGTTATTCCATTAGTTTCTCTTAACTTCAATTCTGTCAAATGTTTGTTTGTGTGTGTTTGCATACATATGTACGTTTTTTAAAATTCTTTTTCAAGAACTATGCTTTTTTTTCCGGTTTGATTTTTTTATTGGAGAATATCTTTTTCCTTTTATCAACGAACTAATCAAATATACGATTGTATAAATAATAATAAAAATAATAATGATAATAATAATATGAAGGAAATTGATATTCAAAGATTAACATGAGAATATAGAAATTGGAATCAGAAAATCGTACGTCTAGAAGAAATTTGTTTGAATTATTATAGAAGTTAAAGTTGTATAGTAGGATGATAGTTTTATCTCGGTTGAGCACTCCTGGAATGGGAGGTTAATTTGGCGACACCTAGTTTCATTAACAACGCCATTAAAAGTAATGGCCGGTGAGGGGGCGAGATGGTGGTGGTGATGGTGATGGTGGTGGTGGTGGTGGTGGTGGAGATGGCGGGGGTGAGTGCCTTGGCAGAGATGGCGGCAGAGAAGCTTCGTAGAAACGAGGAGGCAGATTCTAATTACAGAAGAGGGCTTCGTTCGGATAGGGGAAATAGAAAGAGAAAGAGAGAGAGAAAGAGAGAGAGAGAGTTTGCGCGTGAGGGTTGAACTAGACAAGAGTGGTAGTGGTGGTGGTGGATGGTGGAAATCGTTGAAGCCGGTGGAAAGACGACGACGCCATGATATCCGTTAAAACGGCATAATTGCACCCTAGACGTGAAATTCGACTAATTGTTTTCTACGTTTAGGAGTTTGTTGTCGAAGAAAAAAATTTATTCACTCTTCCTATCTCTTTATCTCTCTCAAACACTCTCTCTCTCTCTCTCTCTCTCTCTCTCTTGTGTAAACTTTATGCACGTTTTAAGTTTACAACGTATTATATATTATTTTCTTTATTTATTTTTCTTATCTTAGTATTACTTGGATTAAATAATTAATCTTTATATTACAATAATAATATAATAATAATAACAATAATATTAGTTAATAACCTTTGTATATTAAATCAAATGTAATACAGATTACATATAATATACATATATTAATTATTTATTAAAATAAATATATGTTTAATTCAAGATAATAAAAGATTTTCTATTTGTCTTTTGATAGAAATTAAAGATAGAAAACTAGGACAAAGTTATTCTTTGAAAAAAAAAAAGGAATAAAAAGAAAAGAAATAAAAAAAAGTTGTAATAGATATTTCGATCTCGTTTTCCATTTATCGCACTAATAAAAAGATCGTTCGAGATATGTATTTGAGAAAGCTGCGGTAATAAATAGCTGATTACACGATTAAATGTCATCGGTGTAATTGAGTGCAACGCAAATATCTTTGTCGCGTGTGACGCAATATATATATTTATTTATTTATATATATATATATATATATAGATTATATACCAATCTGAAGATATCTTTAACCGCGAAAATTTCTTTAATTCTGCTTAACAAACACAAACATATAATACATTTAATATCTATCAAACGTTATCACTATAAATTTAATTCTTTCTATGTTTTCTTCTTTTCCATTTTACCTGAGTAAACCCTTTTTTCAACGAAGAACAAATATGTCGTATAAACGTAACTTGCGTTATATTACGTGAGTCACATAGAACACATGAGTCATATTATCATTATCGAAGACACGAGGATATAAACTCGGAATTTAAGAAATTTATTAGAACTTCATCACATTTATATATATATATTGATTATCGATTGTAATTTTCCGGACAATTTAAAAGAATAAGTTAATCGTTTTAAAGCTTTAAATTTATTTTATTCATATCTTTTATACCGTACGATTGTTTCTATTCTTTTTATTTGTTCTTTTTCATTTATTTAATGTCTTTATCAACAATCACTTGCAAAGGGTTATTAACGATCTAAAGAAAGATTTATAATTTATTATACGATAGAATATATTTCAAGTATTGTTAATTGAATTTACAATTGTCTTTTGAAAATTTAAATTGTCCTTTAAGGTATAACATTTATGTTAATATGAAGAATCATTTTTGCAATATAAAATGATGCAATTTATTGTTAGTTGCAGCTTAACAGAGATAATCATGACTCTTTGTTAATAAACAAGTAAGAATAAACTATCCTATCTTTCAAGTTGAATGAAACTGCATACAGTGTGGAAAATTTGATTAAAATCGGTTCAGTAGTTTACGAGTCCATTGCGGACAAACTACGTGACACCTATAATTTATATATATATATTAAGATTATTACCTAAATAATATCTTTGGTATCGTACATCTTTATATATCAAAATTCATAGCATAACTTTGGTGGCATAGATTTGGAATCACCCTGTATATACACGATATACATACATACATATGTATCTATATCTTATGTATATATGTATATAAGAAATGATATGGAATTGGATAAATGGTAAAGCTTAATTAGTGTCTTTTAACATAGACAAATTTTTGGATAAAAGCTAACACGACACCAATTAAGATTTATCTCTCCTGGTGATACCTAATCGAGCATTTATCGGACGATCTTATCCATGAGGGATTAAGAGAACGGCTCACAAGCTCTCTCTCTCTCTCTCTCGAGCTTACACAAGCTCGGCTTGAAATAACCGATCAAATCGTTAATTACCATCCAGTATCGCGATAAATTCATTCTTTTTCTTAATAAAGTACACGTATGTAATACACTTAACACATTGCGTACGAGTTTCATGAGATATATATCTCATTTTTATAATTTTTTCGTTTTTTTTTTTTCATACATTTTTTCACCGATGACTTCATCCGCGATTAATAATAAAAAAAAAAAAAAAAAATACGTAATTATTGTAAATATGTTATAAAAGCAGTACTTTATTTTGTATGTTTTTACGAATATCGGATATTTTTATAAATATTTGTAAAAATGGATTCTGTTTTTTTCTTTTTTTCTTTTTTTTTTCCTTTTTTAAAGGAAAAAGATACGAAGAAAAAAACGGTAGGAGGATCGTTGAAAAATAAATTGAACTTATCGTGACAGAGCATAATCGGTGGTTAAAAATCTTTCAATGTTTACACGGGCTGCTAAGGGTGACGGTGTAGAAGATGTCTCCACGTTTCGTAAATGTACCTACATATGTAAATATATATCTGTATATATGTATGTATGTATGTATGTATGTATATGTGTATGCATGAACGATATACAATACGATATACATGTGTTTACTACCTGCATGGACCCTGATACTTTGAATACATTGGCGTAACATTCAAAATGCATTATTATTATACAATAAAATAAAATTAATGTTATATAAAATCATTATTTTCATATTATATGATATTAATTTAATATCATTATAAAATGTAAAATAAAGAAAAATTATATTACAATTATTTTTTAATAATAAAAAAGCGGATGTAAGAAAATTCACGTACATTTAATATCTAAAAATAAGAAAAATAAATACACTGTATTATAAACAATTAAATGTGTATAAAATTATAAAAAAATAAATTCTTTTTGTAATCATTTATAAAATAAGTGGACAATGAAGTGAAAAATGGAGAGTGTAATTGATTAGATTAAATAATAAAGTATATAGTTAAGTAGTTAATTACTGTATGTCGACGACAGTGTGTACATACACACACACACACACACACACATACATGCACACTAGGAAACTACACTCTCTTTCTCTCTCTTTCTCTCTCTTTTTCTCTCATTTTCTCATTCTCAAGAGACACGTATCGAAGCAAAGTAGAAGACTATTTGGTGAGTGTGTGCTGGACGTGCTTTGTCCCTTAAACAAACATTCTTTCCTTTCTCTTATTTGGTTACATACGAAAAAAACGAACGAAGAAACGAACGAAGGAACGAACGAATGAACGAATGAACGAATGAACGAGAGAAGAGGACTATTTAAGTACCGCATTTTCGAAACCTACCGCATTTAAAGAAAGGTACCACCACCAATTGGATGACACACTGGTCATCGGTGATCCATCATTTTGACTGTGTCCATATTTTCAATTGAAATAATGCTTCTGCTGCTATTTCTGTTGTTAGAGTAGATATTCGTGTAAAAAAGATTAAATAAAAAAATCCTAACAGTATACGGGGTGGCTTCTATTTGTTTATCATTTTATATATATATATTAGTACGTGTTATATTTTTTTATTAATAATTAAATTCATTCGTATAATAATTCGTGTAAAAAAGATTTCCAAAATAAATCCTAACAAATGTTTATTGTTATTTTTCATCATTTGCATATAATTGTGCTTCATTATGTTAATTAATTAAATTCATTTGTACAATATTTGATTAAAATTCGAAACTCTATCTCAACACTTTTTAAATCGTATCAATTATATATATATATATATATATATATATATATATATATATATATATATATATATATATATATANTATATATATATATATATATATATATATATATATATATACTGTATATACAATAATAACATTATCTTTGTAAATGTTTATCATATAAAATGATTGAATAATTTTCATAGGAAATACACTTCTAATATAATGTAGTCTATTAGGGTAATGGTTATGATAAACCAAACGTAGTAATACCTACTCTTATGGAACATGTAACAGTTTGTATTTTTACGATAACCAAATGCATCTAGGGTGATAGGAAAAAGTACACACACACACACACACACACAGAAAACTGATAAACGTTCTGAATTACTACGAAAGTTAAACGCGTGATAGCTATTACGCAACTATTAGGTTCAATGATAACGGGAGGAGTCTCTGTGGATGATCTTATTTATCTTCATCGTTTAAAAAAAACTTATGTGTTTAAATGTTTATATTATATTGAAAAAATATCAAACATGTTAATTTATTTTTGATTTCTCGTCTCCTATTGATAAGAAAGTAAATATTAAAAAAAAAAAAAACATAGAAAAAAATAATCACTATAAATTCCTGTAATAAATTGTACAAGTGTGTGTGTGTGTGTGTGTGTGTGGTTTTTTCACACATATATAAGTATACATTGGCAATAAGCATAATCGTTAAAAATAATAATTGAGCAGTAATACGTAAAGATAAAATTTTACCGATACGCGACGATGGCATTTGCAAATGGGTTTCGTTGTTATCTAACAAGATAATAATCTTATCTTGAGATTAACGCAAAATCGTATTATTATTTTCAAAAGGCAAATTATTATTATAATTTTTCTTTTAATTAAAAAATTAAAGATCTATATTAAAAATAAAAATTAAAATAAATAAATAAAATAATATATTCTCACATGATCGGTCAATGCAATTTTCAAACGGAAAACGTGTACAACTTCTTATCAATGTTTTCACACATTTCTATTATTGATTTTTATGAAGTCATTATTATTAGTAATTGCGATAAAGTAATTTTATTGAATTAACCAGTTAACTGTGATTGACGTGCATACTCGTCATGGCTCGATTCTGGCGACACAAAAACAATGCGTACTTTCAAACAAGGGCGCCACAGTTAACTGATTAAAGATTATAAATGTTGTTAGTTTACTTTTACCTATGGTTCAGACGATATTATTATCCTAATCGTACTTATGTAAAGAGAATTTTTATAATTTATTTTTTTTTTGATACCAAATAAATATCAAGATAGATAAAGATATTTACTATTTATATATACACACCACAGCACACCACACCATAAACACGTGTATATACATGAAAATATTATCTAAATCGTTATTACTTATATTTTATCTTACGAAAAACATATAATAAAAAAAAAGATAGAAAGAAGAAGAATAAGAAGAAGAAAAGTTGGCCAATCAAATTTACGAGACACGTAGACGTAATCTCTGAATGGAGATTCTACCATTTTGCTCTGCTCTGAAACTCGAGAAATAGAAATAATCCAATGAATTATACTTACATTGTGCTACGAAAGAAGAAACGATAGATAATACTGTAAAAAAGAGAGAAATAGAAAAAGAAACAAATAAAAGAAAGAAAGAAAGAAATAATAAAAGAGAGGAATGAGAAAAAATATGAAATGATCGAAAGAATAAGAGGGGGAGAGAGAGAGAGAGACAAAAAGATACATAAAAGGGAAAGGAGAGAAAGAAGAAGGTGGAGGGTGAAGTGGGGTGGCTTGGGGGATGATGAAAAGTGATATCGGGTAGGTTGTCGACTAGCAGCTATATTAATGTCTAGCTAATGTCGATTATAATCCTCCGAGGGGTGGATGGGGGTGAGTATCTCGATCGGGAGAAGTAGAAACGAACGAAGAAATGAGAAATGAGAAATGTGAAAAAGAGAGAAAGAGATAGAAAAGTTGGGTTGGTACAATAGAAAAAGAGAGGAAAAGAGAATATTCTCTTGGTGTTCTCCCACTTGAACCTACCAGTAACCACCACCTACCACTTCATAGGGTTCCAAATTCACTCGCGTATTCCTTCTTGTGTCACGTGGACGATTCCCGAGGACTCGTCCCCCACGTAGCCCTATTTCTCGAAGGACTGCGAAAACGAGCCGGTGATTGGTCGGAAGAATCCACTTCTTGATCGCGTTGAGAGGATAAACGCCGAACTCTCTGATCTTGTTCTCTTTCTCTTTCTCTTTCTCTCAGGTCAGTTTGTCCTTTTCACAGTGATATTACCTGTCTCTCTCATACTCACATATCACCAGTTAACAAAGAGAAAGAGAAAGAGAGAGAGAGAGAGAATAAGGTCTGGTGGAGGAGCCAAAACTTGCGCCGTATCCGGAATATCAGAAGGGGTATCCTGTAGGCGTGGCAGGATTACGACGTTCCCAACTAGAGGCGTGGCAGGAGTGGCAGGAGCAACCAAGTGTGCGAGTAAGAGAGAGATAGATATTGATAGAGGTAGATAGAGATAGAGACAGAGATAGGTGGATAGAAATCCCCACCTGGTGGGGGAAAAGTAGGGGAAGGCTTTTTCGGCGGACACGCGGTCGGCCACGATGTCACTTTGCTACGCGACGCCAACCTAATAGGGTTAGGTATAGTTTAACCTAAGGTTCCTAACGCTCGGATCCCTGAATCACACATTTGGTTTACTTCTTTTTTTGAAGTTATTCAAGGATTTGATTTATCATCATATTTAAAATTTGTCACGTGTTTTTTGGTGCTTTTGATCATGGTATTGTCATTCATCACGAAATGGAAAATATATGAGTAGATTGGTTGATCAGTGTTGTTGTTATTGTTATTGTTATTGTTGTTCAAACTCGAATAAGATTAATAATCAGTGCAATTAGAAGAATTTTTTATTTAGATGATGCATCGAGGTATTGTTTATTGATGAGAGAGGGTTGAGAAGTATGGCAGCAATGCATTATAACGCACAAGTTGTTTCTGAGGAATTGCATCAGACACATCAGAGACATATTTATGGGATACAACATAGATTGCAAGATCATGGATCGTCGTCACCTAGATCGGAAGAAGCTAGATCACCTATTGAACCTAGCGTAAGATCACCCGAAGAGATTCGTTTCGTTGGTACGAGATCACCCGATAATTTGGAGGATAGAACGCAAACTGTCAGATATCAAGAGGATATTTGTCCTAAACGTTTTACCAAGGATCATGCTAGTCAACATTTTTTTCAAGAAACGGATAATAATATTACGTCGAGAAAGTGTTTTCCAGATGAGATGATCAACGTTAATAATCGTTGTCGTGAATCCGATACGTCACCAGGTAGAACAACCTCATCACCACATGGTTATACTTTAAATACGTCTAGTCAACACAACAATAATTCGGGTAAAACGTCGTTTTGCATCGATGCTTTACTAGGACGTGTTACTACGGGAAAACAGAACAACGATATTGACGAACACGATCGACAGAAAATATTTTCTACGAGAAATCATAAAAATATCGTACAAGAATCAACGTTGAATCTCGCTAACAGTTCGATAGTACAATCCATTCAAGGTAGAGGAGAATCACCAACACCACCACCACTATCGTGCACGATAAGACGTAACGATGATCAAAGAACTGGAATATCACTTGGTAATCCTTTAAATCCATTCGTACAACAGCAACAACAACAACATGGAAGATCCATTTCACCGACGGGTATCGAATCCACCCATGAAAATCAAACGACCAATCGTGACAATTTTCTCACCGGTATACACAACAATGATTCGAATATACAAATGGGGGGTCGTAATGTTAACACGGTAGTTTATCGTAACGATCGTTTGGATACCGTCGAAGATGACGGTTCGATAGAGGTTGATCCTAGCAGGACTACGGGTAGCACGAGTCCTGGTAGCAACGCTAGTCGTAGTCCAGCATCAAGCCCACCTATTTCACCTGGTTCCGAAGAAATTACTAGTAACGGTGTTATCGGACATCAAAGTCTAGCACCTGGACCATACGCCGTCGGTGCCGGTGGTGGTGTTGGTGGTGTTGGTGTTGTTAGACAAAATCAAGGACTCTTGTTACATCCTGGTGGACCTCTCATTCATCCCGGGGGATTGTATTATCATCCGGCAAGTGGTAGCGCATTTCACTCAATACACAAAGAGGGTCAAACTGTGGTTGGTCATCCTCAATCGACCGGTCCTCATCCTCAACAACATCACATTCATCAACTTCAACTCGAGTGGTTAGCTAGAACTGGAATGTTGTATCCCAGATTACCAGCTGACTTAGCCGGTAAGTGAATTATATTATTCGATGCAATTCCCCGCCCTCTTTCTTCTTCTTATTTATCCCTAACCAACCGAGAAAGAGATGATGATTTATATTTTTTTTCAAAACTTGATAATAAAATCCATCAATCCAATCTACATTGTGTTTACTGTCCTTTTTTTTTACCAACTATTATATTAATCGTTTATTATCGATAGTACTTAATAGATGTGTTCTTTGATCAATGTCAAGAGTTTTATCTTTTTTTTTTTCTAACGTTACAAGCATCATCGTATCATCATCATCATCATCATAATTATCATCGTCATCGTCTTCATCGTCATCATCATCATCATCATTGTAATTATCGCAATAAGTTTCTTTTTTTTTTCTTTAGTATCTTGTTTATTCATTTGTTTTATTTTTTTCGAAACGATAAATTTATTATCAATTTGTAACGATCAAATTTAAAAGTTATATAAACGTTTTTAGGTTAAAAGACGATAGAACAATTATCTGTAATTGTTTTACATTTGACTTTATTATCGTATCTTATTGTTAGATCGACAAACTTTTTGTAATTATTGAAATATATCTAATACGATGATCATATCGGATTCAATTATACGATAGGAACTGGAACTAGGACTGTGTATCGACTTAAAACACTTTTACTTAGGAAAAATGATTTGCAATAAATGTATTACTTTTATAACACGCGTTTAGATAAGAAATCAATGTGTTCATGTTTTTACATCCCCCGAACCCTATTTCGTACGTTTCTAAACTATATATACGTAACCAAGAAATAAAGGGGACTAATAAAATTTGCATTTCAACCCTCTTGAAGAAAAAAATCAAAATAAAATATTATAATAAATAAAAATAACATTCAATTCCTATTTGTTTATTCTATGTTTTTGTTGTAATAATTAATTTTTTGTATTTAATTAAAATGGAATCTTTTTTTGAAGGTTTTTTTTTTTTTTTTTAGTCGAAAGATTAGACACCATCCCTTCTCTTTCAATACAATCTTCCGATAAATTAATGATTTGATAATAATTTGCGAAGAAATCGAATACACACGATAACGGTCGTTAAAGCCGATAACTATCCTCATAAATCGTGTCTCGCTAAGCTGTCATTGATGCGTTCTCTGCCGATCCCAGAAAAGATATACATATATATATATACACCTATATATGTATATACACCTACCGATTGTTATCCTATCTGGCGTTAAGATCGACGACAAATATCATCACACATATACACACATTGATATCAACTAACGTATGAGTCAAAGTGTTAATACTTTTCTTTTCGATAGTATTATTTAATATAAATTACTTTAATTACTGATATTTGTTTACTTTTTATTTTATTTTTTTTTATAATAATTATTCATTCGATTAATCTCTTTATTATATTTCATCGTTTGTTGTCATAACAAAAAAAAAAAGAAATTGGAAAAATTGCAGAAAAATATATTTTTTCGTATTGTGTTTCTTAAATAACTGAAGTTAAAGTTTTTAGTGTGTAAATAATATTTAAAATATTATAGTAACCGATATAAACTATCGTATCTTTCAAGTTGAATGAAACTGCACACAGTGTGGAAAATTTGATTAAAATCGGTTCAATAGTTTACGAGTCCATTACGGACAAATACAACGTGACACGTAATTTATATATATTAAGATAGTAACCTAATATAATATATTTTATTATAATATATATATAACTTTATATTTGATTGAAATATTATTATAAAGTTTATATATTTATTGATCAAATAATTTCTAACAGCTTATAAAATGCTATTTAGTTGTCCAACGATGAAACGAGATGATACGATATATATATATATATATATACATATTATATTAGCACTCGAACAGCTATTACCAGCTATTAATTTGAAAGTGTGAGACAACCTCGAAAGACAGATTGCTCATATAGAATATACTATATAGATAGATAAAATAAGTGTTTACACGTCTAATGCATCTCATCGATTTTAACCATGTTGCCTGACTACTCGAATTTTATTAGCCACGATAAGAATCTTTCTTTTTTTTTTTCTATAATAATTTACAAACTTAATCATATACATACATACATCCATTTATAAAACTTAAATACTTATATTACATATTTCAAATATAATTAATTGTTAGTTGAAAGAAAATTAATGAAACATTTTGAAAAGAACAAAAAAAAAAAAAAAAGAAAAAGGGAAAGGGAAAAGTGTAAAAACACGAACACGAAATGATATCGGAATTTTGTGACACATACAGGACTTGTGTTCCACTTTGATATGCCGATAAGAAAAGTTTTTTTTTTTTTTTTTTCGACGAAATTAATGTATCGACAAACAATGAGACAACAGGTCCCTAGATATTGTCTTTACTTTTCCTATCTCGTGATCGTACACTTCGTACGATATTAGATATACTATCGTGTAACCTTTTCATTATATTACGTTGAAAACTATTAGTCAAGAAAAAGATTTCAAATAACAATCTATAGATAATATGGTGTTACTTTGAACAATTTTAAATAACACACACACACACAAAATATACAATAAAATCAGTAAGGCAAATGGATAATGGAATCGTAAAGAAAATGAATTTGATGAAATTTCCAAAAAGAAATGAAAAAAAGAAAGAGAGAGAGAGAGAGAGAGAGAGAGAGTACTGGTTACCACGGTAAATTTCACGCTAGGAAAAAAGAACCGTGGCCGCGTTGTCAGGCCAATCAGTCGAGGGCTTTTATCGAACAAATTGGTCAGTGAACGTATAGAGAGTTTCATATATATATATACTATATATATTATATACTATATACTATATATATATATATGAAGGTAGTGGGGGTATTTCCTGTCAGATGATCCTGATTGGTAGTTGCCGAGCAATCCACCGTTCGACAAAAAAAAAGGCAGAAAAAAAAGAGAGAGAGAAAAAAAAAAGAACCGGTGGCGTAAAACGAGCAACGAGCGCAAAAAGCACACTCGTGGAATAAAATAAAAGGTGCGTCGCGTCGATAAGCCAGGCCCACCGGTGGAAACCACCACCAGCACCACCACCACCACCACCACTACCATCATCGCAATATACCCAACCCCTCACTTGGTATTTTCTCCCAACCACCCACTCGACCACCCCTCGCAGTATTTTCGTTTCAACGTTGACACGAACGCGACTTGTTAAAAATTGCCGAACACCACTACGAAGCCACCGATCGCGTATCGACTTTCCTTTTTTTTTTCTGTTTTTCCTTTTTCTTTTTTAAATAAAATCGTTTCGAATCGTGGACAGGTGAAATGGCCTGCCGAAGTGAACTGAAATGGAGTAGGTATGGCAAGGGGAGGAGAAGGAGTGCTTTTATTTGCGGAATATTTGTCGCGCGTTATGCGTTTTGACCAACGATACGAAAACACCATGTTTCATCTACATCCCACATACCTGGCCCCTTCCTCCTGGTCGGTCTCGAACCCCTATCGAAATTTAACTAGCGTTCGTAACGATATACCCAGATAGATTTTTTTGTACGATACCAACGACTCGAATCTAAACTCTGAATTATTTATTTTTTGTTTCTCCCCTCCCCCCACCCCTTAAAATGGACGAATAGAGACGAATGTTCTATCATTTTTGTTAATTTTTTTTTATTTTTTTTATTTCGAGAAGAATTCAAATTTCTATTTTTATTGGAAAAAAATTGAAATAATCGTTAGAGATATTTGGAAACAAAGATAGATAGATAGATAAATAGATATTTGTGTTTTCGATCGAAAGGGAGATTAAACGACGATCCTGTCGAAAAATTTGATATAAAGTATTCCAGTTCATTAGCGAGAATAGGATTATATAAATATATAAAAGAAAACTAATGATTAGAGGATACACGAATGAACGAATGAACGAATGAACGAACGAACGAAAAGGAACGAATGAAAATGGGAATCGGTTTTATCTGGGCCTGGAACACGTTAAAATGTGACTGCGGTGTGAATATATTTTGCAAATGATCTGTTGATCTGTGACTGAGGATTAATAGACGTATAAAATACATTTTGCGAGCAGATGCGCTTTAATTAAGCTTAAATATTTCAATGCTATTCCATAATGTAGAAATATTCGTGTGTTGCATTTTGTTTTCTATAAACAATATATACGTATTTATATATATATATATATACATGAATATACGAATGTACAGAAGAGATACGACATGGCATTTATTGCTCGTTAACGTTTCCACATTGTTCTATTTGAAAAATATAAATATCCTTTGTACAAATTTTCTCATAATTATATTTTTTAGAAAGTAAAAAATGTAAAAAAGACTTTTGTATGTTTTTTTTTCTTTCTTTTAAATTTAATTTTTTAACCTTTGCTTACCACACCCAGACCTTTTTTGGAACTTGAGTCATTTTTCTCAATTGTTCAACTTTGGTAATTTTTTAAACATATTTAAATTTTATTTAAAGCTATAAAACCTATATAGTCTTTTTAAGTAAGTATTAAAGAAGTCTCAAAAAAATATTGAAGTAAATCTATGCAATAGTTTCTTTTTTATAAGAATTTTTCTCGGGTGTGGTAAGCGTGTTACTCCAGGAAGGGTGGTAAGCAAAGGTTAATTTTAATTTGAAAAATTAATTAATTTTTTATTAATTTTGTTCATATATTGAGAAACACTTTTCTACTATGTTGAATGATTTTTTTTTTTACGAGTTAGAATTCGAAGTCAAATGTAAAAGTAAAAGAAAAAGAGAAGGAGAAAGAGTGAGTGAGTGAGTGGGTGAACGAGAGAATGTAAATGTAAATTGAGTTAAGAATTCCTCTTTTAATGGGGGGGTGACGTTAGAAGAGATATTTTTTCAACGTAATAGCGTTGAGTAGTAGGCCCTTTTAAGTAGAAAAAGACGGTACAAACGAAATTAAGGGAGACAAAAATTATTTGCCAAAGCCAATGGAAAGTAGCCTGGGTAAAATACCTTTTACCAAAGTGTT